TGTCTGGGCTTCCTCAGTAGTTAATGGGGAAGAAGAGATACATTTTAAGAGAGATCCTATCCTATTCTAAGAAAAAGTCTAAGGTAGTTGGGTTGAATGTCTTCTGAATGGGTTCCTTTATACTGAGCTTAAATAACTGTTATGGGTGAGACACCTCATTTCAGCAGGCTCGAGTTCAACAAATCCCACTCAATGCACTTTGGTATGATATGAATGCCTGGGATTGAAGGGTAGGGCCTTGAAAGAGCATCCTTTGTTAACTCTTTTGTGTCCCTCATCCCCCCCCAAAATTAGAACAGAAAGATAATTTTTAAAATAGTAACAAAAATAAAGTTAAATAAATGTGGAGATCTGAAATCCGCTTCCTGCCCTTCTCTAGAAATAATACATCTTCTCTGTAAGACACAGAGATCTGGGGCTACAAAGCAATATGGATCTGTAGTTCCCCTCCAGCTAACATCTGTTCTGTTCTACTTTATTATTCCTGAAATGTGGGTGAGCACAGGTAAAAGAGAATTTGGCTCTGAGTTTCATTCTTTTAATTGGTAAGAATATTTGAGAGAGAAAAGAGAAAAAAGAAAAGAAAAAAGAAAAGAAAAAAGAGAAGAAAAAAGAAAAAGGTAAAGGGAGAGGAGGGAAGGGCTAAAGGAAAGGGAAGGACTACAGGAAAGGAAAGCGTAATACCTGAGGGATGTTAACAAGGAGAGATGATAATATCCTCAACCCCTCTAGGATAGAGACCAAGCGGTAGATAATTACAGTTTGTGAGAGTTTACCAGGAGGTGCAGTGAGGGAAAAACTGCAATGAGCCATAAAACCACTGGCTCTGTTGAGTCCGTTTTTCAGTCTCCAGCAGAGTTACAAATTTCAGTTCCCAGGGTTATCTTTTGAAGGGCTTTTTTTCCGGAATAGGGCTCAGGAAGAGCTCAGGATGTCTTAAAAAAAATGAGGAGGGCCCTCAGCATATGTAGACAAACACAAACTTGTGATTTACGTGGTTCAACAGAAAAAAAAAAAGTTGTGAACTGTACATATGTGTGCATAGAATGAAAGTCCAAGAAAAAACATTTTCCTTGTATTGTCTGCTCTCCCAGCATAACCAGTAGTGTTGACAAACTTTGTTAAATTCTTTTCTCCTGTATACCACTGTATTTCAGTGAAGCGAAAGCTGCAAAAGAAGCATGAATAGTTCTGATCATTCTGATTTTTGGCAGGTCAAACCTTATTTATAATCTTCAGACATATTTCAGTGATCATTGTGTTTGAGTGCACTGCTAAGCCTGATATTCATATTAACAAATAGGGAATAAAAAAGAAGCTTCAGATTTGCTAATTGGAAGTTGTCATGCCTTTAATTACTTGAGTGACTGACTCAGGACAGTTTCCTCTCTTGCAGAAAGATTAATGTAAACTCCCTTTTAAAGTGATTAATCTTATCTATTGTATTCACATTTTTACAGAATGAACAAAATACTTTTCTAGCCATGGCTTCAGATGTGCTGTAAAAGATAATATTCTGAGATTGACAGTAGTAGATTATTATCAACCAAGCAGGGAGCTCCAAGGCACTTGAGTACATGGTTTAGGAGGTTTATAGACAACTGCCCCACAGTTTTAACTCCAAAAATCCATCCTCAGTACTAAAGGTAGATATATTTATAGAGAGACACATGTACATATAAGATATATAATGTATAATGCTGATTCTTTGATTACCTTTATATTATAGCTGAAATGAGGTGTTTGCATATTACCGTCATTTTTGGTATGTATTTGTTGGTCTAAGGTTTACTCTGGGTAAAACTATCCTTAAAGCAAACACTCAACTCTGTGTTACATCTCTGAACCTGTAGGTTTACTTCATGTGGTTTCAACTTCAACCCTTTAACAACAAATTAATTTTTATGTAAGCTGTCAAATTGACACAGGACAAGCAGCTGCACAAGAAGAAACTGAAGTACATAAACTATAGCAAGAAGCATAAGGCTCCCATAAGAGACTAGTCTTTCCCTTTCTGCATTTAGTCCACTAAGAGTGAATTATTCATTACAATCAAGCTAAAGCTCCCCCAGTTTTGCCATTTCATCCGCAAGTTTGTTGAAAATTAAAGCTCAGTGTGAAGCCTCCAGAGAATTACTCTGAGTTAATAACGCCTGCAAAGAACAGGGATTTCACTGTGAGGTAAATTGCTGTGTGATTGCCCACACATCAGCAAAAATTATAATTGGGAGAAACTGAATATTTTCTCTGTATTTAACTGGTGAGGATTTTGTAGGGTGTCATTTTACGTTAAGTGGTGGAGTTATAATTTAGAATGTTTCACAGCAACCAATTGTGTTTGTTTTAACAGCGAGATTTCTTTTCTATGAGAAGATTTCTACTGCTGTCAGCTGCTATTGCAACTTTATGCAATACACATTTAGAAACCTTTCTTAATCTTAAGGAAAAATTTCAGAGGCAGGCTTTAAACTATGGAATTTTTTCCCCATGATTTCGTATGAATTTAGAAGTTGATACTTTCCCCTACCTAGCTGTATCTCATAAATAACAAGCTAAGTCATGATTTTGATGTCTACATCTGTAGCATATGTACACTTAGCAGCTCCCTGGACAGCAGTGGAAACTACCTAAAGCACACATTTTTGTTTCTTCCAGATGTTTCAGGAATATACTCATAGCTAACATGAAAAATTCAGGTGGAGCTCCTAAATCAAATTGAATATTAACATTATTATCTATCCCAAAAAGGACAGAGGAAGAAAAAAAGTCAAATTATCTTGTCTCCATATTGCACTGCATTGTTATACGCTGAGGTATTGTTGTCTGCATTTTCCATGGGCCCTGTATCAATTCACAACTCATGTTTGGAGCAGGATTCAGGCTTCTGCCTGATGACAGTAACACAGCCCCAGCATGAAATGGATAAAGCTTGTATCATTCAAGATAGGTCTACATGGAGAGCCTCAGACAGACCTCTTTTTGCCTGTCCTTTGAAGAGAACCAGTTCTGGTCCACAGGCCAAGCATCCTTGCTAGCAAGTTGTAGTGCTGAGTTCAGTAGGTTGCTCAGGGACTTAGTTGCTTGATTCAGGCAGGTTGCCATGCTAGCACATATCATAGAATCATAGAATTCTGTGAACTAGGACAGGGCCGGATGTGCCTTCTGCATGGGAACTGCTTGGGCTCTGCCTGCTCATCTCTGGTCAAATGTGCTTTTGTGACTTGCACGGTTATGTGGCTTCATTTAAATCACAATGAACAATTTACTTACATGGCTGCAGCATCTGAGCCTTACTTACCAGCAAGCTCTTTGCTCTAGAGAATATACTTTTGAATTATGCACTTAATGCTGACAGGAACCTGTTGGCACAGTCTTCTGTCCCTCCAAATTAATCTCTTGCCACCCTTCTCATTTCTGTGCCATACAGAGAAAGCTCAAGTGCTTGCCTCACTGAACTCAAATTTAGGATTATAGGCATAGCTGTTAGGTTGAGTTTTTTTCTTTTGTTCTTTTTTCTTTTTTTTTTTTCCAGTTGTAACAGGAAAAAACCAAACAACTGGTTAAAGGCTAAGGAAAGAGGAACATACCTAGGAGAGTGACATCTGGTTTCAGACATGTACTTTTAGTGCAGTGAAACTTGCTTCAGTGAATTTCTGTTATACGCCTTTTACAGTTACTGGAATAAAATGTCCCTGGTGCTGAAGGCAAACACATAAGAGATGGGGAACTCATAACTGCATGAATGTGTTAGACAATAATATGTAGTGGGTGCTGCTGCTATACATAATAGCTGAGCTATTCTTACTGCAACAGAGCTAAGGGCTAATATAACACAGGTTCATTTCCTTGGATCAACATGGGATGCATTAAAAAATAATTTGCTGGGCAAGATGAGGCTTTTCAGGCTCAGATAATCCTACTGCCTGCTCCAGAGGTCACTGAGAAGTGTAATGAAAAAGCAAATCCCTACTAATTAGTTCTACAACACTTCAAAGCATTTCCTTTTTTCACTTAAGAACAGAACTATGGGTGAGTGGGCCTCCAGTGCAGAATTATCTCTGAAAGTCCTGCTGTGGGCTCCAGCTTCAAGCTTGTCATCTCTATGCCACTGCATTGGATCATCCTGGAGTTTAACTCAGCTGTTACAGGGCCAGAGGAAGACCTGGTGTTTGGCTCAGGGCTCTAGGGAAGAGGAGAGGAAGCACGTGCATTGTATAAGCAAACCTTCATGTGTCAACATCCATGAGCTTGTCAGATGAATTGTTCTGCCCCAGCTGCACTGCTCTAAGAGTGGATCTCTCAGTATATATTTATCTGATGTATTATGTTTCTGAAATGTGCTGTCAGTTTCTTTCAGAGAAGATCTTCATGGCGTAGGGAATGCAATTATGAGGATGATCTAGCATCACCACAGGATCCCACAGTATGAGCCAAAGTACCAACTAACAGCATCCGATTGGGCTAGGTGCTGTGTAGTGGGAGTTAATGCCTGTCCAAGGGAAAAGTGTAAGAGGAAAGGAATTGACTGTCATTTTACAGAGAGGAAAACAAATGCACTGAGATGGTGTGTGTTGAGAAAGCCAGTGGTAGTTCAGAGGACCAAAAGAAGTGTTGTGCTATGGGCTTCTAGTCCATGTTTCCAATGGTCTGTCATGTACAAACTTCTGTTGTTTCAAAGCTGTTCTTTTCAAAGTGTGACACCCATGGGAAAAATATCTTACAGAAGGAAAAATAATGGCCAAAATTGAAAGAAAGGGACCCAAAGTATGGAAACCGGATTTCCAATTGCTTGAGTTCAAAAGGATGTTTTTCTATTCCTGCTCTATGTTACAGATATGTACCTGAATTTAGATGCTTGTTTTTGAATAAAGTTATGAACTTGTCCACAATTTATGGGAATTTGCATACAGGGAGTCACATCTATCTCTAAGTTTGAACTGTTGCTGTAATTTATATATTCTAAAAAGAGGAAATAAAAAGAAAAAAATCTGGTTTTCTAGGTTGTCCTGGGGCCAAGAAGAATGAGTTCCTGACGAGTGTTTTGGATGCATTGTCCACAGATATGGTGCACGCAGTCTCTGACCCATCATTGTCTTCTAGCCGGTGGGTTTCAGATCCTTTATGTGTGTCTTTAAAAGGATTCTGGAAGTGATGAATGAATGAGGGCTTTGAGAAGTAATTCTTCTTCTGCCTTCACAAAGGGTAAATTTCCAAGAACCTGTCTAGGAGAGCTTACTTCAAAGTTATCGCTGTGGACTAAGTCCACTAGAAAGAGATGCACTTGATAACTGGATTCTCAGCAGCAGCACAGCTTAGAGTTTATCTGTCACTGCTGGTGCAACTGTCTCTCAGTCTTTGTTCTCCTCTCAGGCTTTACTTGATGAATGTGTGCTACCTTTCTGATTCATATTTTGCCTAATTGCTTGTAAAGCAAACCAATGCTATCAACAGTAAACGGTAGAATTAAAAATGCATAAGTGCTGTCAAACTTTGGGCATCTGCAGGTCAGGTGCTTACCATCTGAAGAGGAGGTGGCACTTGTTATAACTTACCCTGTATTTCAATACATTCAGGTGTTTTGCCTCTAAGAGCATCCATCATGGTTTGTTATTGGAGTCTTGGTATTTGGCGATGCTGACTGTTGACTATCTCAGTTGGGTATATTATGTGTTTTAATGTGCCTGCCACCTATGAAACTGTCTTTTTCTCTTTTGTTTCTCTCTTCACTTTTCTCTGTTTCAGGAAGGGACAAGGGAAAGCACTGTTTCTGAGTATGGTGCTGACCTCCACACAGTTTCAGAGAGGAGAGTTGACTAAGAGCAGATTTCAGCCCTTAGTGTAAAATTTGGGATGTTGGCCAAAGTGAAAAAAGAGGGATTCACTACAAAAAGCTAGTGGCCAAAAGCAGGGAGGTTTATGTAACAAGGCATCTGAGAGTGATTTAACTATTCTGAAATAAAGGTATAAACTGAGGTTTATGTCTCAGAATTAAGACTAAACTCTTGTTTTCTGTTTCAGGGTTTCAGAACCTGATCCAAATCATACTCTGGAAGAAAGAGTGGTCCACTGGTATTTCAAACAGCTAGACAAAAACTCCAGTGGTGACATTGGCAAGAAAGAAATAAAGCCCTTTAAGAGATTCCTAAGAAAGAAATCAAAACCCAAAAAATGTGTGAAGAAGTTTGTGGAATACTGCGATGTGAACAATGATAAGTCCTTATCAGTTCAAGAATTAATGGGTTGCTTGGGAGTAACAAAAGAAGAAGGTAAAGCAGAAACAAAGAAACGCCATAGTAAGAACCTTTTCTACCTTGTTCACTGAATTCTTCAAAGCTGACGAAGTCTGATTTTTGTATATGCCAAAAGTATACAAAATAAAAGAATACACCCGTCTGCAGCTAACACAGCTGTTGCTTAGGGCAGATGGCAGGAAAGCTGCTTCTGAGTAGGCAAATCATCACTTTGCTCCAGCAGAATCAAAACCTTCCCATTGATTCTCACCATTAAATGTATTACAGTAGGAAACCTAAGAGGCTATGATAACATTAACAGTCATCAGAAAGCCAGTTTAATGTTATTACAGTACTATGTCCTGAATGAGTGGAAGTATCACACCTGTGCTTTTTGGAGCCCTGCTGGGAAGGAAGCACATCGTTGAGCTTTCTAATGACTTCTCATTTCTTAAATGTGGTTTAGAGATAGAGTGAGGAATGTGGTCATCTGCCAAACAGGTGGAACAACTGCTGGTACACAGCCACCTTACCTTGCTGCCAAACTGGTAGGAAGGGGGACAACTAACTACAGCCTGTAGTGGTCCATGCAGAGTTCAATCACACAATTCCTGAAAATGAACAAGATTTTTTTTAAAAAAAATGTAAACAACAACAGCAGATCCCCCTACTATAAGAAGCTGTAGAATATGAATATAGGCGAACTGTTTTGTTTGCCTGGGACCTTAAAATGAAGCCAGGGCTGTAAAACAAAGGTGTCACAGGAAATGAAAAGCAAGTCAACTGGGAAATGTGGTCAGAAATAAAATAGTTTCCACAAAACTGGTTGTATTCAATCCTAGAAAGGCAATACTGCAGGAAGAAGGAATAGCTCTACATAGTACGAATGAAGTAAATTGTCTGTCTCATAGAAACAGATATCTTGAAACAAATATATCAAATGCAGGATTTTTTTTCTGTGGTTTTTCTGTACCTAATAATAATACCTTGCAATTTTCACTTAGGTGAGAGAGGTGAAAAAACTGTATATGAAGGTGGATGATTGTTGTTATCTTTATGCTATAAATAAGGAAACTGAAATGTAACACCTTTTTCATTTACACTATTTGGCAGACGAGTGTCTTAAAGTCGAGGCCATTATGGTCACTCCATATGTTAACTTCCACACACTTCTGTCCTGCTGCAGCCGTCACTCCTTGGTCTTATTGTAGATGAAATTTGGGTCCGAAGTCTGCTCCAGGACATAAAGGAAAGCTATAGCAAGACTCAAAACAAACCCCAGTTTTTCTTATGCCCATTTCAGTGAAAAAACCCAAAGATTAGGATTCTCCTGCTTCACATAAGCTGCCTGTTTCAGAAAAGACAGTTGTAAGAGGCATGAAATTATATGAAGGTCACACACAGATTTAGCTAAAGAAAAAATTATGTTCACCATAACTGGAGATTTTTAACAGAGCTTCTCAAAAAAAGATGTAGTCAATAATGAGAACATTAATTTATGGAAGGAAAAAATACCTCAGAACTTTTGCATTGAAAAACTAATGGCAACCAGTTGGAAAAAACACCTAAACAAATAATTTGGTTGCTTTCCTAGACATACATGTTTTTAAATACAGGACAATAAAAATTGCTTTAGTTGGAATATCAGCATTCTCTTTTGTTTCTCCTCCTTGATAATTAAAATTTCCTTTCTGATAATCCTTTCACTTGCACAAAAGAAATCAGTCTCCACTCCACTAAAGCTAGAGTTATATTTCTGGGAATAGATGAGACCCTGTCACCTGAGGTGTGAAAGCTGAGATAAGGAGGCTGCTCCATATTGCTCTGCGTGAGTCCTAGATGTCTTGTGAAAATCATTTGAAAGAATGTAAGAGCCAGAGAGCTGCAAAATATACTTTCTCAGGGGAATGGTAGTTTCTGCAGTATTTTTCAAGGTCCAGTTTCATTTCCCTTTGTCCCAATGCAGCTCGATTGACTAGCAAACTGACATGGAAAACCAGGAGGGTGAGTTCCTCCTGAGCTTCCCAAATTTGCTTGTGAAGTTGAATGGGCCAGCAGACTCAGGTAGCTGTTGGCTTTTTTTTTTTTTTACTTCATTTAGAGCATTGTCTTGGACTTTGCCGCTAAGAAATTTAAAAACCAGTGATAATTTTGTTGGTTTATAGATTAAATGTAAACAATGTCTTTGGCTGGTAGAGCTGTTCCTGTGCAATGTCTTTAAGCAAAGTAAATGCTTTCCAGACAGTTTGCTTGTCCATGCCTCTTTCCTACCAAGGATAATAGGCTATATTTACTACTAAAGATTTAATAAGTTTGAAATGCTCAACACTGACTACATGCAATCTGTCCTAAGCAAATGTCATGTATTAACTGGCAAGAAATGTTGTCATTCGACTTTCATACAACATGATAGAAGCAACACCTGTACTGAGGAAAGAAAAAAGTGGATGCTTCAATGAAAGATCTGAGATATTTTATCATCTCATTTATTGAAAGCGGTGCAGTTACCTTGCTCTAAACAATACCTGAATGAGAGCTTCAGTTCTTCAGGAAGCTACAGAAAACTTGCAAACTATATTCATAATGTTGTTTTTCCCTCCTTTAGCAGCCCCTAAAACCAACACTGAGAGCACTTCATCCAGCAGGCAGGTGAGTACTGAGGAGAGCAAAATTTCCATTCCTGTCTTGCCCAGCTGAATTTCTTGGGGTTTTAACAGTTGTCTTTGCATCTTCAAACTACATCCATCTGCCATTCTGCAGACTTGCCAGGAAAATATAGACCAGCATCCAGATTAGCAAATTTTGACTTAAATTCTATCTAAGGAAAGCTGAATTAGTCAACTACAGGTGCAGAGTAAATGTGCATAAATTCAAAATGGATTGTGCCCGCATGTGGATGTTCCTAGTAAAGTGTAATTGGCATCTAGGTTAGTGATACTTAGATGAGTGTAACTGAGCACTCATACAAGTCTTCTGCATTCCTGAATGTTGGCATTCCCATAGACTTTTAAACGTGCACTGCTTTATCTGCATTTTTTGCTTTATCTGAATTCCGTCAATTTTCCTGTGAGTCATACTATAGACATACACTTTGATTGAAATTACACTTTGTGAAAAAAGCCACACATTTCCTATGCCCTATGAAAATCTGTACACTTCACAAACCCCACTGAATTATTGTATGGTGGTTTTAAACACCTTTTAAAATCTTAGTGTGGAGAAAAGAGCTGTCAATTTCAAATGCTTTTGCTGGCTGAGAAAAGTGATGCTGGAGATCTAGGATTTGCATCAGTCTGCTGATGTATGTTAAAACTAAAATCGGTTAGGTCTGCAGAATGATTGTAGCAAATAAAATGTCAAGTGCCCTGACAGCATAATCCATGATTTGGTTTTGCATCAATTTTCTGCAAAGAGTTGATTTTGTTTTTCTGAATAACACCAACGTATGTAATTCATGGCGCTTTGGCTACTCAAGGCATTCAGAGCTACAAAAGGCACAAAAGTAGAATTTTTAAATCAAGGAAAGGTACACATTGAAAAGGAGGAGCTAAACCGGAAGCTCAGGAAAAAGGTTAAAAAAGGGGGTCTTGTTTGTGTGTGTCTATTTTTACAATCATTAACCCTAAAGATCTGCTTTTCTGGACAACATGGGCACAACTTCCTGGCACTTTTGCATGGGCGTGAAGAAGGAGTTGTGAGTCTGCCGGTTATTTGAATGGTCTAGTAAAAGAATCAACTTCATACCATTCTTGCCTCATTCTTTTATCAGTTAGAGGAATTAAATGCTTAATTTCTACAAAGCATCAGCAAATGATGAATTGTTTTTAAAAATATTCATATAAACATATTATAAGAACAGCTCAGGTAACCCTGCAGCTGGGAAAATAGGAATTTGGCTAAAAACATCCCAAACCCATAGTTGTGGTTAATAGTTTCCCATCTATCAGAACACTAGATTAATTTGTTAAAAACTGAACTGAGGGTGAACCTCCCCACAAGCCAACAGAAATCTTCGTCTCATTGTTGCTAGTCGTTTTGTTGCTTACTTTATCTCTGATTTGTTTGATGTTAGGTTCACACTTCCTAAGGCAAGCTCAACGTTGGTTGTGGGTTCTACCAGAGGCCTCCTACATACCTTTGATGGAATATAAAATATTCTCAGAGCTAGAGGGATGCGATAAGTTTCTGTTTGTTTAAACAAATGTTTGTGGTCTTAACTTTTCAAGTTCCCCCCACAAATCATTTATTCTTTAAACAAGGCAGCCTGAAAACAATTATCCTGTCGGAACTCAAAAACATTCAAAGGGGTTATTTTAATTATATAATGGCAATTACTGGCACACGTGCATTACACTTGAAGCATGACAAGCCCTCTTCCCTTTCTTGTAATCTGATCCTGACTTGCAGGATCCGTAATAAAAGTGTCCTAGCGCATCTATGTTTTTTAATTTTGTCAAATACTTTTGCTGACTCAGCACCAATTATTTTAAAAGCTGTTGCTGACAAATGATAGCTTTGAATTAAGTCTAGCTCAGCAAACCATCTGTTCGCAGTTTCATACTCGAACAATACAAGGCTGCAAATGCAGAAGGTGGCTTTCATCACAAATGTTTTCACTTGAAAGGAAGTTATTGAAGAGCAACTGCGCTGGGTAGGAGCCGCTCAGAGGAAACCACCCATCTAAGACAGAGTAATCAGATTTGCACCACTCAGGAGATGGGCACTCAAGAACTCATTGTCTACTGGCTGATTATGGCAGTTCAGTGATATATATGTTTGCGTGTGCTTAGGCATGCATTCCTGAATATTTTTTTTTTACATATGTGTACATCTGTATGTGTACACACACACAGGCTTACTGAAAGAAAGCAGATATAGATGCATATATGCTAACTGAGTCTCAGCTGTGGTTGCTCTAGAAGAGGTCAAATACATGATGGATCTGACAGAACTGGGGTAGTGGCCAGGTGTATTTCCCTTGCTCAGCTCCACCCTGTCCAACAAACACACACATACATGCACACATGCTGTCAATGAGACCCAGAGGGTCTTTCGCAGCCTAGCAAAAAGTTTATAAGGAAACTATGGATTGTTCATAAGACTTTGGCCAGCAGCCCATTCCTTATACATCACATGCCATAGAAAAGTATATTGCACCAGAGACTTGCCCAGGCAGTTGCTAAAAGTGTGTGTTTGACAGGTATAAATTTAAAGAGGCCAAAGTAAGAAAGAGTAAAGTTGTTGCTCATGCCCTTGTTTGTAGATGCCACAAAGGACTACGGGGCAGGGATTTTTTTATTCCCCATATATATTGGTGCAGAACTCTTGTTCTAATAGTGGCATGTGGACACTGCTGAAAAATAGAGATAAACGTTTATACTTGAATACTTGAAAACATCACTAATAATGAAACTTTTTTTTTCTTTCAGCAAGTTTCTAAGAAGCAAGGGTGAACAGCTTACTGATCCAAGGCAGATCTCTTTGACATGTGGGAGATTTCCTCACCAAAAGGCAATAAAAACAACTGTAGTATTTGCACTTTGTACTTAAAAATGTAAATTCACTTTGTAGAAATGAAATATTTAAACAGACTTTTTTTTTTAATCTGTGAAAATGTAATGGCTAGTTTTGAAAAATTATCACATACAATGTATGTGTATTCTTTTGTCTGAAATATGTAAAACGTGTTGGAGATGTAAAAGTTTGCATTTAAACATTTTTTTTAAAAAATAGCTTTTTGGCAAACAGTAGCATAGAAACCTGATTCTATGTATTTTGGTTTCAATAGTATGCCTTGTTTTCTTAATCAGTGCTGTCATTTAAGTAGTGTTATGCTGAAAAGTCTACTGTATTCTCAATTTTGTCCAAGTGATGTTGGATGTTTCAGGTTTGCAGGACTGAGGGAAGTGTGTAAATTGCTGTTTACTTGGCTTTGCAGTTTTTAACTGAACAGTTTTCGTCGGTGGCAATATTTTATTTCATTTGGTTTTACTGTTATTATTATGCTTTCCAAGTATCATTCAATGAGAATGCAACCACTAATGGTTTCAGAACAGTTATTCTATGGTTGGGATACTTGTAGAAAAATGTATCCTTTTATCCATTTTTGAGGTGCCTTCCATTATAAGTTTTGGTAGGATTTTTCCCCTTGTTTGTTTTCACTCGGGTTATTAATACAACAAACCAACAAGGAGTAAGGTGGATTGTAATGTCACTCCAGTCTGGTTCAGCCTGGGCCTAAAACCATGTTTCTGTGGTCAGTGCAAAACAGGAGCAGAGTTTGTATGGGTCAGAATTGTAAATCTAACTATAAAGAGACAGGGAATGCTAAACAGATTGTTCAACCTTTTCTTCCCCTACACCTGGCTGCCCCCATCAACTCTTTGGTTTGCCTTGGGGTCCACTAGAGGTAAAGCCAAACAAATTATGAACCGTTGCTGTCAGGAGGGGCTACTCACATCACCCCTGCCTGAGGCTTTTTCCTTGCTGTCTGAAAGAAGTTCTCACAAGTTTTCATACCTTCTCTGTCATTTTCCCCCCAGTGCTTTTTTGTATGCGTGCCTGAGGGGAATAAGAGTTTGCAGACGTGAACTTAGAGCAGGGGACCCAAGTTAAAAAAGGTTCAGCTCTTGAACAACTGTGAGTTACAAGCAGCTGGGTTGATCGATGCAGTGGTAGACGGACTGCTGGCATCTAGGAGCTGACATGAATAGGCAGGAATGTTGCAACAAGCAGTGATTTCATTCTGGTTTGTTTAAATAATGTGTGGGATCAGACATATGACTAGCTAATCATAACAGCACCCTGGCTTGAGCTTGTACCTGGAAAAGCTTTTTTGCAAATAAAAATGTTTCATTTCAATTTCAACATATGCTGAAGTGATAGGAAACACTGTATGCAGTGGAATTGTACCCCAGAAATTGTGTACTCTAAGCTTTGGCAGCAAGGAGGAACCAAGATGCAACTGTGTGTTATCTTGTATTTTTGTTTTAAAAATTATTTGTTATTCTTTTATACTGTTAAACTTTGAATTTAATCTTCTTTATAGATTAAAGATCAGTATGTTATCAAACTATGCTGGTTGTTTTTCTTCTGCAATACAGATAGCCATGTTTGGATGCAGTTACACACAGTGGTGACTTCACCACTGCCTTGAGTTTACAAGAAACCTCATGACGTCACATTGTGTCCATCTTCTTTTCTTCCCTTGCCCTTTTATTGAATTCTCTTTTGAGGTAGTTCAGGCCTTACTCATGCCACTGCTTTCTTAAAATAGTTATTTTGAGGCCAGATCCTTTGTTGCTACTATCTCCATATAGCTTCAGCTTCGTCTCTCGCCTCTTCTCATCAAAATGCAACGTGGCATAGATAGTGATCACACCTTTTCCCCTTGGTGTGAGTGAGAGCTGCTGGGCAACTTTCAGCCTGATTGGAAACAATGAGGAAAGAGAGGTAAGTCCTGAGAATGCTCAGCATCTTATTAGGTGGGCACAGTACGGTTAATAGCAACATTTTGTAAGAAGCATCTAATTTCATCACTGTGGCCTTTGGAGACAATATAAATGTAGGCAATGAAATATTTTGCCATGTCCATGGTTTGAAATAGTAGCCCATTTGAATTGGGAGGGCATGTGGGAAGGCAAATTTGGACTAGCCATTTGATAATGTAATGAGTAGCCTTAAGTGATTATCAAAACACAAATAAATGCTATAGGCATTCTCTTAGGTATCCAAGGACTTATACAACATAGGAATAATTTTGTCACTCTACAATGACTGAAACGTGAGGTATTTCATCTTTGTACATATTTCTATGTCATCATATTTATGGTTCATTTTGATTTCCAGCCATTACACCACTTGGCTATAAGCAGAACTGAGTTCTTATACTTCTAGTCAGAGTCCAGATCCCTAATCGGAACACATGTGAAAGCCTGCTAAATTCACACTGGGTTCCTGTATCTCCCATATATACAAAGGTGAGTTAAATTGATAAATCTTGGCCCTTCTAGTTGTAACCACGCACAGCCTCGATAGCAAAAAGGAATCCATGTAGATAGGCCCTTAGGCTCACACTACAGTACCAGTGTTTATTTAGTTCCGCAGTAATTAATTAGTTCTAGTTTTTATCCTATTCCATGTGCAACAATTTAGTTTCAATTTTAATTTTGTTCTTATTGAAAACACAACTTATATTCTGCTTCTCACTGGCCAGTATTTGTTCTAGTTCCAGTTATTGCTGAACAGATTTATGTAGAGCTTTTATGAAGTTGTAAGTGGAAGACTGTTATGTTTTAAAAATGTGTATGTGTTCAATGATTTGTCCAATCTGTTGCAATGTCCATTAGTCAACAGGCCATACAGTGAGAAAAGTTCCATGTTTTGTCCACACTTTGGGTAACTTCCCCATCTTGTTCCCAGCCCTAGAAGTAGACCAACTTCATAGTTCCAGTTTTACCAAAACCAATGAATTCTCAGTATTCTCCCAGCCTAACAAAATGCCTAGCTTTCAGGTACTCATTTTGCAGAACTGGGACCTTGATGATTGCTCAGAATGACAATTTTTCTTGCTAATGTGGTTTCAGATTATAAGAGAGCAAGAAAGCATCAGTTCATATGAGTGTAAGGGAGAAGACTTAAACTAAATACCTACTGCATATAAATCAAGGAATACGCTGTACTGTTCTCATTTGGACGAGGCTTTTGCCCTTCATTAAGTGCCATAAGACAATAGAGAGACCAGGCATTCCTAGAAAGCTGGAAGGAGAAACAAAAATGTAGATTGCATCATTAAAGACACTTAAGTGTGTCCAAGACTTGATAGATTTAATTAATATTTTCTTTTTACAGTAGTAATAAAAGATGGATTAATAGAGGTTAAGAAATCTTCCCTGGCAAAGATAATTTAGTTGTCCCTTTTAAATATTTACACTAGTGTACTATATAACTAGGTTATAGAAATTACCGTGAAAGAGTCTTTAATGCAGAAAGTGAAAGGTTTATTACTTTTGTTTTCTTTAGGATGGCAAATTGATGTAATTTTGGAGTAATTACTTTGACATTAAATAGCAACCAACTATGTTTATTGATGTCTGAAACATTAGAATGATTATAGTAAATTACTAATGCTAACTGTGCTCTCTGTCCCATTTAATTGTTTAAGTTCAAGTTTTATAAGTCAAAATATGCCCTTTGTTCAAAAAGCATAAATAATACATGTAACTTTTTTCTTTAAACAAAAGCTCATGTGGAAAGCATTCAGAACAACACATTTCTCTAGAACATCCAGTGAGGGGGGTGACAGGGAGAGAAGACTGTCTGCTTTTTATCTAGGTCAGCGATATATATACAATACTTTGCCTTTCCTACATGCACCTTCCCTATTTCGTCATACAGGTTGTCCTCTGACTAATGTCACTGCTGGAATACAAAACCTATTGGAAGGGAAGATAGTGAAATGAGAGTGCATTCTGTGCATGTGAAAATTTTTTTCCATAAAATACAGTCATCTGAGGCATCCTTTCCCTATAGACTCTCTTTTGACATCAATTCAATACATAGGGTTGCTTTCTTCTTAGCAAATACAGAATTATTTTTTGCACAGGCATGGAATCCATTCCTCGCTAAATGGGTATTTTATGAAGAAAATGACTCATAGAAGATTAGCACAGTCTATGAGATTGTAGGTGGAAGGCTTCAATTTTATATTATAACACAAATAAAAGTTTCTAAAAATTTATAAAGCCCACTCAGTACCTGAAGAACATCTATGAAGATGCCTATATCTTTTCTAAGTAGTCAGTCAGGAAAGAAAAAACAAACAAAAAAGTGGTGAATGAAGTTTCCACTGAAAAACATTGTTTTCACTAAACCATGACTGACTGATTTCATGTGATTGAGGGTTTCCATGAAATTTCACTTATAAAAGTATTTTTTGGTTTTGTGGTTACTTCTATGTTGAAACTTCTTTTCCTTTATCTAAGAAGCATGAAGTGTCAACACTGAAAAGGGAATTTTGACACCAATTTTATCCCAGAATTAAATATTGTGAAAGGTAGCAGCATTCTTGCTCTTCCCCCAACTTTTATAAAAAAATAGTGGTTTTTGAAAGAAGTCAGGTTTCCAAAGGTTAGCGTGTCCTGCTTCATCTGAATCTCATTTTATAGTCTTTGAATACCTTGCTATCCCAGTATGAGGCAATGAAATGCTACATTTTCACTTAACAGGACTGGAACTTGATGAGCTGATGGATTTAGCACTGTGTGCACACAGAACATGAAGAAAACTGCAACTTGGCTAACAGTATTTATACTAGTTGGTATCTATGCAGCACAGTTGAAGCAGTGTGAATTAGTGACCTGCTGAAATATATAGGGCACTTTTCCAGCTTGCAAAATAAGCCTGCCATGGGACTGAATGCAAACATTCTCAAACCTAAAATAATATCCTAGCA